CAGTGGAAAAGATAACTTATCATTGGTGAGTATGTAAACCAATCAGTTTTGGAAAATTTTAGGGGCATGTTGTTGTTAGTCGCGAAGTCGTGTCCAGCCCATTGCAACCCCATGGACAGCGTTCTTCCAGGCCTTCCTGTCCTCTACCATCCCCTGGAGTCCCTCTAAGCTCACGCCTACTACTTCGGTGACTCCATCCAGCCATCTCATTCTCTGTCGTCTCCTTCTTCTTTTGCCCTCAATCTTTCCCAGCATTAGGCTCTTCTCCAGTGATTCCTTCCTTCTCATTAGGTGGCCAAAGAATATGATCTGGCCTTCTAAAGAGCAGTCAGGGTTGATCTCCTCTAGGACTGACTGGTTTGATTGGCTTGCAGTCCAAGGGACTTGCAGGAGTCTTTTCCAGCTCCATAGTTCAAAAGCCTCAATTCTTTGGTGCTCAGCTTTTCTTATGGTCCAACTTTCATAGCAAAACACTGCAACTGGGAAAACTATAGCCTTGCCTATACGTACTTTAGTTGAAAGGGTGAGTTCTCTGCTTAAAGGAGAATATTTGTAGCTCAGGGTTGACATAATGGGTCCTTGTTGCTCTCTGAGCTTGTTTGTTTTCTTGCAGACATTTCATTAGCCAAACTAGTTAACATTATTAGATTTGCTAGCACTGCTGATGTTATCTAGCTTGGCTAATGAAATGTCTGCAAGAAAACAAACAAGCTCAGACAGCACCAAGGACCCCTTGGTTTGTGTATCTTTACTATAACATTACACTGGGCTTTACCGCTCTCCTTTGGTATATTCTTATCTCTTCCTGTTTTCTCTCTTTCAATTGTGCATGCCCACTTAACAATATACTGAGAATTGGTCTTTCATATTAGATATTATAGATAACATACTGTCTTCAGTCTATGAGATCGTAAACAAATCTTATTTCCTCAGAGCAGGATCTGAATTTTCCTCTTTTGAGAGTTTATGGCCATTTGAAATTTTTATGTTAATTTCTAGCTAGACTATGGATTGTTCACATGTGACCTTTCCCTTGAATGGGAGATTTTGGACTAAGAAGAACCTCAGCAAAAGTGTCAGTCTCATGCTTCGCATTTTCTAATTGCCATAATTGGAATGTGTGCCACAGATGTGATAAATAAATGCAAGGCAGATAGCATGATACAGGTGCTCCTCGAATAATGACCACAACTGAGTCCAAAATTTCTGTTGCTAAGCATGATAGTTGCTAAATGAATTTTGTTCCATTTTATGATCTTTCCCCCCACCCCACAAATGAATCACCGTTAAGTTAGTAACATGCATGTTATGTGGCTTTCCCATTAACGTTGTTTGTCAAAAGGTCTGAAAAATTGATCACATGACCTTGGGCACGGCAACTATCAAAAATATCAGTCAGTTGCCAAGCATCTGAACAGTCATAAGTGTGAAAAAAAGTCCTAAGTCACTTTTTTCAGTAGCATTGTAACTTCAAACAGTCACTAAATGAACTGTTGTAAATGGAGGACTATCTGTACATATGCTTTTACACTGCATTTAGATATCCTTTACTTTTCTAGGAAATTCACAGCACAATTTTGTTATTATTCCAACATTTTTTTTCTTTTTCACTTTTTTCCTCATCTATCCTAGAAGCAGCAAAGTCACTTTTTTCTGTTTTTGATAAAGCACTAGTATAACACAAATACATTCAAAGTTCAGTTTTTACCAAATCATCTTTTTAAACTAATTTTATTCAAAATGATAATTGCAACAATAAAAATTTCAAAAACTAAAAAAGGACAGATAAAATATAAAAGAAAAGAATAGAAAGAATAAAGAAAAGAAAGAAAATATGACTATGGTAAAGAAAAAGAAAAGAAATTCCTTTTCCCAACTAAAGCAACTTTGTGTATCCCATTTAATTTTTAAGAGGCAATTTTTGAAAGTGATTAGAAGCAAAGCATGTGAACCAGTGGTGGGTTTCAAATTTTTTTAGAATCTCTTCTGTAGGTGTGGCCTGCTTTATGGGAGTGGCTTGCCAGCCATGTGACTGGGTGGGAGTGGCCAACTTGTAAAATGTGGTGAAACGCACTTAACAACGCTCTTGCTTAGCAACCAAATGTTGGCTCTTAAAAATTAAATG